GATGGACAGAGGACACGGAGACGTGTCCAGGTCGAGCTGTGCGAGAAATAAGAGGAAGAGGAAGAAAGAAAAGGAGGGAGACGAATTACATATCGAGTTAACTTCATCATGTGTGTTTATTTACTAGATATTTAATTTAATTTGATGCGGTTTCAGCTGTGTTGATTCAGTCAGGTTGTGTGTCCAAACGCGTGCCAAACGCGCTCATCAGATCAGATATAGATCAGAATATATCTATATAGATCTAAATGTATGTGCTGACTCAGATTAATAGTTGATGATGATTATTTATTGCACTGAAATGTGCCTGACACTGTGGAAACCTGCCGGTGAGGCATCAGTGACGTATGTCGATATGCCGCCGGTCTACCAAAATACTACTGGACCAGCTGCGTTCTGCCTTGCGCTGAAAGCTGACCAGGTTTGAATCGGCGAGCTTTCAGCGCACTTTACACGCCGGTGGCGAGCACGAATATGTCACTGCGCCTGCTGATTCTGTTGACACCTCCCCCTGCCACGCCACCACGCCCAGCTTGGCGGATCTTGGCTCGCCTCCGTGCGGCTCAGTCCACGAAAATACCAAACTGGCCTTACGCCGGGCTCCGCCAGACGAAAATACAACTGCGCGGGGCTCGCCGCCCTCCGCCGCCTCACTGGCGCACACGAAAATAGAGCCCAATGTCTTTTTTTTCTTTCAATATCTACACTGTAAACAAAGTCAGCTTTCTCATTCAGCAGAGGGACACTGCACTGTCAGTCACAGGAAGTGGCTGCTGATTGGCTGTTTACACTTTCAGACTAAACTTCCTGTTGACAGACCACAGTGAGAGTAATGTTTGTTTCTGACTGATCCGATTCAGGCTGTAAGACTCTGAATCTGAACTCTGCAGGAGGAGGGGGCAGTTGTGAGCCAGGCTGAGAGCCTGCTCACAGCCGGGGGGTTTACCAGAGGAGAAAAAGTGAATATCATGGGATATTAGAGCTAATATCAGTACTTTCTGACTGCGCTGATTTGTCCCTTGCATGTTCAGTGCATAAAAAGTAACATATTCATCAGTGTTAGGTGTCCACTGATTCCTCCATCAGCTGATCGAACAGTCTGCTGAAAGTTTGTCCTGAAACTTTCTTCTCTGTGTTAGCGAGCTGCTGCTGCTGCTGATGTCGGAGGGATTTGGATGAATATGGAGATAAATCCGTCTAATCTGCCGTTTCAATCTGATTCTCAGTGGGATACGTCTCTTCTTTCTATACTTAGTGACCCCGCTCCTCCTCTCTGGATATTCTGTTCCACAGGATCAGCACCAAATTGGAAAGAGATGGAGCTCGGCGCGTGCCACCTCAAATTGGATTGCATGGAGTCTTAAATGAAAGCAAATAATTTCACGGCTAATGGGCTTAATTTGAGGAAATAATTCCAGATTTCCACAGTGGGATATTCTGCATGTGATTTCTGCAGAGGGCGGGACTCTTGGAGAAGAGGCTCGTTCTTTATTTATGAGAATGTTCTGGAGTTAAAGAGGAGGGAGATCTATACAAAGCAGCAAACACCTGACATCACAGGTGATGAAGGTGTTAAAGCTGACAGAAAAAATGGAGGTAAGGACTGAGGGGCTAATGAAGTTGTGCTAGAGGTGATGGAGAATTAGGAGCTTATTGAGCTAAGGAAGCTGATGAAGGTGATGGAGGTGATAGAGAGGGAGGTGATGGGGGAGTTGATTTACATGGATGTTAGTTTGTTTATTGTCTTTTCTGGGAAATGCATCCTTACAGAGTCTGTAGATACAGAATTGAAGTGTGTTACATATATTGGCACAGGGAAGGAGAACATTCACAAAACACAAAAAGACAACATTCAATCCCAGCAGTGAGATGAATAAAGACAATCAGACTCTATTGGTTCAGTACTGTGATGGCGGAGGCCATGAGACTGTTTATAAGCTCTGTTGTATCTGAGTGTCCTGTATCTGTGTCCAGAGGGCAGTAATGTGAAGTACTGTTGGACTGTTGAAGCTAACAGACAGTGATGGAGGTGATGGAGAGAAGCAGAGCTGCTTTGTTACCAGTGGGGACAAATCAAAGATGAATCCATCAAGTTAGGAAGAATTACAAATAATTTAGCGAATGCAGACAAAAAAGTGATTACGTTTGAAAACAGGAGCTTGTGTCATATTAATGAATGAATACATAAATAAATAAATAAATAATAGTAGTTATGAAATAATGAATGTAGCTTTGGGTCTACACGCAGTGATTAATGTCCAGGAGAGCAGCTGTGTGTAAAGGCGGCTGGCTGACAGTGATTGTGAGGCCCATTTAGCGGCTGATGTGTTGTTATGATTGGACACGTCAATCTCTCGCTCTGATTAAAAGAAAGAAAGAAATACACAAAGCTTTCTTCATCCTCTACTTCATGAATTTTTATTCTTTCTCTCTGCACAGAATAAATGTGAACGCACTTTAGTTAGTCCCTGCAGCACTGACATTCATAGTAGGAAAGATTCACACTTATATTTGCTGTCTCTAAATCCTGAAACCTTTTTCAAAGTGGAGTCAAAAACAGCTGGAGGAACATCTCCAACTAATGAGTAAGGGGTGTCACTGTACACAAAAGTTACGGTTCGGTACGTACCTCGATGTGGGGGTCACAGTTCGGTACGGTTTCAGTACAGTGGGTAAAAAGTAACAAAAGCTTACACGTACAAGACTATCTTTTTTTTCATTTATTTTGAGCAGACACCAACTGACTGCAAAACTTAAAACCATCTCCTGATATAAAAGTAAAAAAAAAAAAAACAATTGGAATAAAACATACAACAAATGCACTGGGAGGGTTCTCATACCATTCATTCTGTTCATACCAGGCTCCTCTACTACGGCATATGGGCGCATAGTCTGCCTCCTCGCTGGGTGAAGCCACTCCGAGAACAGCACCCTCTGTTGATGGGCTGCAGTATAGGTCATAAATCCCGCCTCCGCCAGCAAAGCTTATGGAGCTGTGGACAAACTTTGGAAATTTATTACACAGAACATAATTTTTTCTCCCCCCTGCTTGTGATGTTGACATGTAGTTATTTTAAGACTGGTTTGTGCTTAAGTCCTCTTTTTTCTGTGAAGCTCCGTTTTTAAAAGTTATTGGGGGTTCATGTTTGCTATGATTGACACCAGATACAGCCTATTGGCGTTCAGGGATTGCGTAGCTCTGTTGTACACACGTTTTTTTCCTCGCACTTGTGACTGTGTCGTCTAATGTGTGTTAGCATGTTAGATGTGTTTCCAGTGACATAGCCCACCTCCATGAAACACTGGAGGCAGACAGTCCTTGTCCGGTCGACCACTCTTTTGCTATCGCTGTTATGTTGCACTGGGGAAACTAAAGTGTTCCCACACGGCTGATTTAAATGAAGCTGGCAGCTCTTCCAACTCCACACTCTCCATCACTCTTCTTATTTGTTTGTTTTTGTTTGTAACCATTTCTGCTTCTGTGGTAATGATGGTTGCTGGCAGCTTTTATGCTTATTACCGCCACCTGAATTGGAGTGAGGACTCAACTTTTTTTTTATCTAACCCCGAACATATCCATCATATGACTGCGTGCACCAAACCGTGACCCCCGTACTGTGATGGGACAGGACAAATACAAATACCATTATACCCCTACTAATGAGGTGAATTTCCAACAGGTTAGTAACATGACTGGGTATAAAAAGGACATTCAGAGAGACTAAGTCTGTCAGAAGGAAAGATGGGGAGAGGTTCACCACTCTGTGAGACACTGTGTGAGCTAACAGTTCAACAATTTCAGAAAAATGTTTCTGAATGTCAAATGTGAAAGAATGAGTAGATTTATACTTTTAAACGACAATAATTGAATTGATTTTTCACTTTGATTCAGTTTTTTGATCCGCTAAAGGCTTGTAAAGCTCTCTCACCTGTACAGGTGAAAGAAGTGGTGTTCACAGCTCATGTTTTAGCTCGGATTTGTCTCTGTTGGTGTAATTACTGAAGGAATTCAGAGCAGCCTGTTTCCCTAAGACAATGATCTATAAAACTGTGCAGCCATTAGCTCTTCAGAGCCGGGAACTTCTGGAAACAATATGTATGAAAATGAGTCAGAGAGTCCAAATCCTCAGCTCACTCTGTTCTGTCCCATAAGCAGCCTGCTGTTCCCAAACTGATGAGGAGCTTATCCTGGGGTTTGTGGCCCAATACACTGCTGTCTGCCTGCAGAGGAGGTGGGGGGTGGGGGGTTCTTTTGGGATGCAAAACTGTTTTAATAGTTTCCTTTGTGCTGTTGTCATGGTGACCAATGTAACTTACAACCCGTGATTGTCCATCAACAACATCCAACAGGGGATTCCTGTCCTTCCCCTGCCACAGACCTGAACCTGCTGCAGACCTCATCCTGCTGTAGACCTGAACCTTCTGCAGACCTCATCCTGTTGTAGACCTGAACCTTCTGCAGACCTCATCCTGTTGCTGTAGACCTGAACCTGCTGCAGGTCTCATCCTGTTGCTGTAGACCTGAACCTTCTGCAGACCTCATCCTGTTACTGTAGACCTGAACCTGCCGCAGGTTTCATCCTGTTGTAGACCTGAAACTGCTGCAGGTCTCATCCTTTTGAACCATGTAGGCTTATGTGTAAGTGTAAGTCCTGCAGTCCTGATTTCAAATGCCCATTAAGGAGCCACAGACGTGGTCTGACCAAGGACTGTCTGTTTTATTTATGACACAGTCCTGCTAACATCTGTGGGGCAGTCTGAATTACTGTGCTCACTCTGTGTGATGTGTTCACTGCTGTTTCAGATGGAGGTGACCGCTCCTCATGATCTCACACCACATTAACGTAGAGTCTGTGTGCGGAGTGCATGTACGTATAAGTGTGTGTTGTGATTAATCCAAACTCCAACCCTGTATTTGAACCCTTCATGGACCCTCATGTCTCTGTCTCTTTGTTGTTTCAAGTATATGTCTTTTCACTTTCTCATGTAGGATTTCAGCTGCTCAACAGTTCAGAGTCTCCTTGTATAAAGACAACACACATGCACATACACACAGTGTTGTCCCAGCCTTGTTCAGTCCAGGTTTCACAGAGTTAATGAACTCTCAGTCGGACTCCACAGTCCTCCTCGGCCTGACAGAATGAAGAACAACTTATCCTCGTCCTCCTGATAGAAAAACAGAGAAACAGCAGCTCTTATCTCTGAGACAGAATGTAAGGAGGGCCAGGAACAAGACCGAGGGCACGCACACACACACACACACACACACACGGGTCTGACCACAGTGTGTAGGACATTTGGCTCAGGTCAGATAAAAGCAGCCAGGAATGAATCACTCTCTCACCACCGCTCAGGTGATAGAAGTTGTGTGTGTGTGTGTGTGTGTGTGTGTGTGTGTGTGTGTGTGTGTGTGTGTGTGTGTGTGTGTGTGTGTGTTTGTGGAAGGAGGGTTGGGGTGTTTTCTATGAGAGGAACAGGTCTGATATTGGGTGAGATCCCTTCAGTTAAATGTTTGTGTGTGACACAGACTCCTCTGAAATACGAAGTTCAGCCTTAACAGTCACACATGCACGCAAGCAAGCACGAATGCACGCACACACACACACACACACACACACATTCTGAATATTTGAACAGTTCATTGTGAAAGGGTTAGAGCACTGTGTGATTTGAACCCTCTGCTCTGCTATGTTAAGGTCAGACTCAATAATTTTAGCTGGATTTTAATTTACTGCAGCAGCTCTGATCTTCTCTCAGGTGTTAGAGATGTGGAACGGGAGTGTCAGAGAAGGTAGGGTGGAACAGCGCTGTGTGTGTGTGTGTGTGTGTGTGTGTGTGTGTGTGTGTGTGTGTGTTTCAGCTGTGTTTGCAGGCTGGGCCTCTCATGCACAATATGATGTGTAATCACACACCTGTTCACCAATATTACATCACTGTGAGGTCTAAGGATTATTGGTGTGGGGAGGCAATCAAACAAATAAACAAACACCCATATACATAAACAAAACATAAAACAGTACAAAATAAAAACAAAGAAACTCAATAAAACATGACAGCATGATAACATAACAGGAATTCAAAAGAGCTAAAACAAAAAACAAATAAATGAAAACAACTAAACAATGTAAAAAATTAAAAACAATAAAAAAAAGTTTTAATACACGACAAAAGAATTAAAATCTGTCCAAAAATAAGAAAGAAAAGATAGAAAACAAAACAAAAACAAACATGTTAAAAAGACAACAAGATAAAAATTTAACCAAACAAAAACATAAGAAAAAAAATCATTTCTCTGTGGCTGAAAATCAATGTATTTTTATGTAAAAATCAAAATGATAAGATTTGCTGTTGTGGTGTCATGGTACAGCACAGTCCTTGTTTAGACAGTAAGATTAAGAGAGTAAGATTAACATGCAGTAATTAAATAGAAGCAGGATAAAAAGTTGACAAAGAAAGTCTGTGTTTTCAGTGAATAATAACATCCCTATGTCTGAGCTCAGCCAGCACAGCCTTTTTGATGGCTCTGCTGACAGAAAACTGTCATTAAAGGTCCTTTCACACGTTTTCCCATCCTGCGATATTGCAGCATTTATTTTTTCGGATCATGGTTGATTTTTCTAAAGTTTCGCATACTGTGTGTCCACTTCTGACCAATCAAATTGCGTGTTGTTACGATGTTTGATTCACCGGTAAATCCAACATGGCCGACCGGCTGATTGTTTACGTGTCGGAGAATAGTGTGTTTTTTGATAAAAAACACAAATATTGCAAAGATAACAACCTGAAGGACAACTTGTGGAGAGTCATAGCGTCGGATCTCTCATATGACGATAGTTTGTGTGCTTTAACAGTTTTTTTTTTTTTTTTAAACGTCTTTGTTTTAACTTTCATCTGTGCTAACTAACTTTAGCTTGTAAGCTAACCTGTTCAGATACAACATACCATATGTATTTTCACTGTCACAAACTCACCTTCAGACTCAGTACATGCTATCATGACAGACAGCCATCTCAACACTAGTGTCTAATCAGAACTGAAAACAGTCAGTCTGCTGTTGTGTCAGTCTTCTCGCTTCCAACCGGGACGCGTCTTTTTTCCCCCCCGGCAAGTCACAAATCGCATCAGGCGTGATGTGTATAGTCAGGTGCGTCAAAATTCACCTCCGAATATTTCGTAATTTCATGTTCTATATTTGCGTCTGCCCCGGTGTGTAAGGACCTTTAGGCAGCTTTGATATAAAAATAAAATAATCTGATCTCTAACCTCTGTTGTGAATGACAAAGCCAAAACAGGAGAAAAAAAACAAAGAAACGCTGAAGGGCAGGAACACTCCAGCCATGGCTGTGATGGACACTCAGCTGAAGAGATTCAGACTTCTGTGTAAATGAAGAGGCAGACACCAAATCCTCCCTTTGTGAGTAAAGGCGCTCTATTAGATTCTTATTAGGGGTAGTCCACAGAGGAAGGTGAGGTACACACACACACACACACACACACACACACACACACACACACACACACACACACACACACACACACACACACACACACACACACAGGTGTTGGATCTAAAACTGTTAACATGATTTTTGTGCCGTGATTTAAAGCAGCAGAATAAAGAAAACTAGACCTGACATCCTTATTTCTGACAGAGGAGGGTTTGCTCTGATAATAACGGGTTACAGTCTGTTTTTATGAGTGGAGGGTCAGCCTTAATTGCAGTCATTGGAGACCCCAGACTCTGCTTTGTATTCTGATGCATCAGCGCTCCATCAGAGGACAGTTTAGTACCAGCTAATAGCTTAATTCATTAAACCTGATTAGCCTCTGTTAGGGTTGATTTATTCATAATAAAACACACTGTTATTGAGATGTAATGAAGTCATTTTTTAATATCCACACTGTAAAACTGAAAAACTACAGTTCCTGAAGTGTCCACTAGAGTCTGTGTTCTAATGGGGGTCAGTCCCCATAAAACTCTATGTTAAAATGTCTGACTTTACTAAAGTTTTACATTTAGGATACAAAAATACAAAACATTATTTACAAAAAAAGATGATGTTAATATGATGCTAAGTGATTTTTAAGATATAAGTTATCTGCCTGATGAATCAGCTGACCAATGACGCCGTTTACCTCCAGTTGAGCCTCTACAGAACACTCTCTATTGATGACAACAACCCTGAGCTTATAGAGAGCTCACCTGTTTAAAATATATAAAAGAATTCCTATCATACTCGTTTTTACCTCTCAGTCTGTCAGTGTGGGACACCTGTGTAGTTATTTAATCTATCTCAGACTGGCATCTGTGCATAAAAAAAAAAATAATAATAAAATAAAAAGTCATTTCAGCTCTATTCAGCCTCTGATTAAAACTCTTCACTTTAGATGTGTTTCCACTGACAGAAAGTTATACACAGCTTTGGGTGTTGCTTTTTACACAGCTTTACACAGAAATAGTCTATCACCAGCAAAGTGCAGTGTTGTACCATAACTGTGACCAGTGGAAATACATAAATAACATGCAGCAAACTGTCAATCTGACTCCACATCAACGGAGGGCATGTTAAAGAAAGCTGCAGACTCGTGAGGATCTTCAGTTATTTAGCCGGCCTCTGGCTTAGCATGCATGCCAACCTTTTTATTTGTTTTTTCAGATCTGTGTGCAGGCAGGTAAATTTTCACAACACTGTCACATGAACATGGATTACTTCTATAATGTAAAAGACTTACCTGTCCGTGTTGGTCCGAACAAGGCCTCAGGCAGGGCTGTTATTGTTCCTCTTTCTCCTTCAGCTCCTCTGGGTCTGTCAGCTGCTTCTGCTTTGGATGGTTTGATGGTTTGGATGGTGTGGTTTTGGTTTGGCCTCTCTCTCCTCTGCCTGCAGCCAGCTGTGTGTCTCTCAGAGGCAGACAGACTGAATGGATAAAAAGAGGACATAAATGGATTTGAATTAATTGTCCACACAGAGGGCAGAAACCCTCTCATTGTGTGTTTTTATTCAATTCTCTGTTTGTGTGTTCAGCATCACCTCAGGGACGCTCAGAGAGACAAGCCTCCGGCTGGCCAGCAAATGCCTCGCAGAAACACACGGCATATGCCAATCCTGCTCAAACATACCTCTCTCTCTCTCTCTGTCTCCCTTTCTCTGTCTCACTCACCCAGCAGAGGCTCTCCTTGGGTTGGACTGTGCCAAGGCCTGTTCTGTCTCTGCCAAGGCATCAGTGATGGGACAATCAGAGAGAGAGAGAGAGAGAGAGAGAGAGAGAGAGAGAGAGAGAGAGAGAGAGAGAGTGTGTGAGTGTGTGAGTGTGTGTGTGTGTGTGTGTGTGTGTGTGTGTGTGTGTGTGTGTGTGTATGTATGTATGTATGTGTATGTGAGCAGCTTTGACAGCTTTACAGGGGGTAAAAAGATGCTCTGCAGTATGTCCAGGAGGAGGAGAAGTGGACGATGAGGAGGTCTGGTTGTCCTCCTGGGACTCATCTTTAGCGGACGACTCAGCCTGACAGAGTTTTTTTAATGCACTCTAAACTCTTGAAAGTGTCATCATCCTCTTCTCTGCTCCCTAATCAGTGTTCATATTTCTTTCAAAACTTTTTCAAACTCAAGTGTCCTCTGCACCTATCACAGGTAATGCTAATCCTGTGCAAACAGTGCTTCAGACTCTGTTTCCCATCATCTGTAGAAACAATTCCTTCTTTTCTGAACAGAATAGACTTCAATCCTGTGAGTTTGTCTGTAAAATTAAACTGATTTCCTGTTTTTGAGTCACAGCACTTTAACTTTTGAACAGATCCTGCTGCAGAAAAGTTCACATGGATGTCAGTTTTTCCTGCACAGATCTTAGAGGTTAAGGGTTAATGTGCAAAAGACTTAAAGATGCCACATGCAGCATGTACGTGCATCATTAAAATAAGTTTGGTCTCTCTGTTCCTCTTTCTCTCTGATGTTTTTGTTTTTTGTCTAAGAAGGACTCAGAAACCGGTTGTCATCACCCTGGGATGCAAAGTTAAAAACCACCTGATTCCAAGCGCAGATTTCCCAGCAGGCTTCCCTCGCTCTCATTCTCTCCTCCCAAAATTACACCTTTATCCGTCCTCCCCCACCTGCATCCTCCTCCACGTTTCCCTGTGATCTGCTGCCTCATATCTCCAAATCCCTTTTTATTGGGATTTATCCAGGCTGTTATCACTTTCATAAAAAAAGGACCGAGACTATTTCCCCTCCTTTTTGCCATGTTGCCCATTTACAGCAGAGAATTGGCGCAATTTCCGACGTGTCTGCTTTTCTTTGTGACAGCCACATTAGCATGTCATTACTGGGGCTTTCTCAGCCCTCCCTGTGAGGACCAGGCTCGGCAAAGACAAAGGGCACCAGCTGCACCCACTTCTCCTCATCCATCTCTTCATCCCTCCTCCTCCTCAGCGCTGCTTCTCTTCAGCTTGCACTCGGCCTGACTCGGTGACATCCTGACTCTACCCGTTCGCTCTGACTTGGCCAGCAGCCGAATGTGTTGAGACGTGGGTATCTGGAGGAGAGATTGTTGATTTCCGTTTAGACCCAGCCTGTAATTTTGTATGTGAGATGATATTGGACAATAAATGTGATTAGTCTCATTCAACTGTTAGAGCGAGTGCTGGTTAAGGGCTGATAATTTCAGGTTTTGATTGGCTAGGATGAGATTGGCTGCTGCAGACCTCTGTGACTCTAATCACCGGGTTTGTTTAGTTGAACATGTCTTTATGTGAAGAACCGAGGAACAGACACATCAGGCCTCTCAGGCTGGGTGGAGAACATCTGAGCACAGGTCAGACAGGAGGAAATAGGACTGACTGTGAGGACCACTGTGTAACACTGAAAAATCTCTCCCTTATTTGAACTTATAATTTTTTTCTTTTTAAAATGAAGTCCTGAAACCCTTCAACAAACTTCCTCCCAACTTCAGGTCTTCTTTAAACCCCTCAAGCTCCCTGTGAAAAAAGTTCCTCTGGAAAATGCTCCTTAACAGTGACTTGGACCCTGTAACATCCAGAGCAGAAGGGTCCTCTCAGATGATACTGAGATAAAATACTCAAAGATGCCCCCCTGATGCACTTTTCATGGAAAATGCAAAAATTTGCTTTAGAGGTCACTCTTCTGAGCAATTAAACATGTCAATGTGCCCCGTAAATGACCCCCAAATAATTATACATGAAAAGTTCCCTATAGGTTACAATGTCACAATGCTATAATGTTCCAGTGTCACAATGTTACAATGTCACAGTATTACAATTTTATAATGTAACAGTGTTAGAATGTTATATTGTTACAATGTTGCAATACTATTTAGCAGATGCTCTTATCCAAAGTGAAGTACACTGAGAGCAGGTAGGTGCCATTCAAGTATTTAATGCTTGACCCTAAAATAAAGGTGTTAACAAGTTCTTTAACTCATGCCCTGCCCCCTTTCCTCCATCACTCCCTCCAGGGACTGGAGAGTAGCCTCTATCACCTGCCTGTGGAACTGGAGACTTGCCCCCAGACACTGATCGCCCCCAGCTGTCTGTCCTGCTGCTGCAGCAGAGGCAAAGGCTACCAAGGCTGACCAGATAATTCATTTTAGAAAATGCAATGTCCTCCGCAGCGCTTACTTGTTGAGGGGCTGCCTCACGTTTGCTGTTGATGTTCTGAGTCATCTTGTAGACTACTTCACAAATTTTGCAATACGCTTGGTCAGTAGGGCATTTAAAGGTGTGGAGAGGAGCTGATGTGATTGGTGAAAACAAGACTCAGCTGTACTAAACCCACTCCACGCCTTCTCCCCTCCCTCTTTTCTACTTGTGCCACTAGGAAAAGCTGAGAAAGCAAGGGGATGTAATTGCGCTGGGCTGCGCCACTCACCAAATAAGCAAAGTGTGCTGAGGCATGCCCCACCACAGTGGCCACTTGACCCTGACCCCAACCTTAAATTAGAGCCCTAGAGTTTATTTTTGCAGAGATTCACACATAGTTAATGAAAAAATGACTGCTGAGAGGTTCATTTTTTTTGTCCCTCTGTGCATCTCTGATGGGAGGGACTAAGATGCCGTTGAACAGCACAAGTTGGATATGCAAGAGTGAACTTTGGGGCTTTAAGAGGAAGAGAATAATTCATTTTGTCATTCCTTTAAAATGACAACATTGAATTTAACACCATTTAAACTGGCACACACTGGCGCACCTCAGCATTTCTGCTTCCTGCGGCACGGTGGAAATCTCTGCATGAGTTTTCTCATCCTGAAAAAATTACCATACGAGCTCTGAATAATTCTCAAGTCAAGCCATAATGCCAAAGCCCATTTCTTGATCACTTCCAGGTCACGAAACTTTCTACAGAAGAAAAAGTCTAAATCAGATCAAACTGTCATTATCCATTTATCCCATTTTTATTTGAGCTGAAGAAAACAGTAATTGGAAAACGAGCAGTTATCCATTTTTGAAATTTTCCTTTTAGAGACGAATACAATTTGTTTTCTCTTTTTTTTTTTTGGTTTTATTTTGAAAATCGAATAAACGGATGATACGTGGATTTCACATGAACCTCATTTTGCTTTGAAATTCTTGGACGTGGACCCAAATATCCTCTTTTCTGGAGAAGTCACTAAACCTCTCTGTGAAAATACTAAAAGTGAACTTGAGACTCTTGGAGACCTTTAAAATGTCCTTAAACCCCCCCTGAGATCCCACAGAGACACTTCAGACTTTTATAACTCCTGCATGATGTCTCTGAGATCTCTGAACCTGGATGCCCCTGTAAGTCTCCCTCAGAAACCTGGTTTCCATCAGAGACCTCAGGGTAGACAGGTTTAAAAGTATTGTGTCAAAGAATGTTAAAAAGTAATTCATGCAGTGGGGGCGGCTTTACTCCTCGCCTCAGTGAGACGACCTGATCATCATTCATGTCATTCATCATTTGAGCAGGACTAAGCCCCGTTGTTAAAACCTGCCAGTCCACCGCCGGACCGGCTTACAGCTCCCAGAGAAATCCTCCTCTTCTTAACCAGTCTGACCAGTCACATCTCCATGTATGAATATGTCAGCCAGCAAATCCTGGGACAGGGGGAGTCTTTATAATCCACTTCTTAATCCTTAATCCCTAATGTGTCCAATCCCATAACCTGACTGACCTGCCATGTTTCAGGATGGTGACGAGATCAGTGTAAAAGTTAGACGTCCTTCCTCAAATTCACTTTCTCCTCTGAGAGCAGCAGCTTTCTGTGTGAGCGATGTGTCATTGTGTCAGTCCTCTGCTGCTGCAGGAGCTCAGCGCCACGCTGAACTCCTCTTACCTGAGTTTAATCCAAGGTCAACTGGTATTAAGAGTTAACACAGGGAGTCTTCATGAATTTAAAATTTCTCTCTCATTGTTTGGTTTTTGATCGGCCTCAGTTATGTAAAGAAACAGACATGAAACAGAAACATATAATTTCTTAAGTCTTAGAGAGACTAGAGTCTTGTACAGAAAATCACAGTTACAAAAATCATCATAATAAATTATTTTATGGTTGTGAATCAGGAACAATTAAATCATCTTTGATGACAACAATACTGCTAACATTTCACTGACAAAAACACTGAATTACTATCAAAATAAACTTTATTGACTGAGTTTTTTGCAGATTATGAACTGAAAGGTTCATTTAGCATAATTATAAAATGATTAGATTGTCCAGGCACATTTAAACTACAATCTAGTTTAGGTTTTGTGACAAAGAGCCAATATATGTATGATTATTAAAATATGTTATAAGAGGCCAAATATTTTACAAGACCAGAGTTTGGAGCTGTGGTTTGCAAATCATGACCATGACAAACCACATTATGACAACAGGGATTACAACAGCATGGCTCTGTAGGAGAAGAGTCCTGCTGATCAAATCTGTAGTTGTTCTGATTTGGTCATGAACTCAGTGTAACATGCATGAAGTGAGTATCTGTGGTGCTCAGATCACGCTCTCCTATGTTCACT